TTAATATAATTAATTTGGAATAAATAATAAATTAATATAATTAATTTAGAATAGAAATATAGATAGATATTTGTTGTCTTTGTTCTTAATTCTTGTCATTACTATTTTGACTTATCATGTACATTCTTCGACTCTAAAGACCTCTTGCTAACATTAGATGGAGAAGAAAGAAGAAAGCCAAAAAGATGAAAGAAAAAAGAAAGATTAGATAGCAATTAAATGATAATAGAAGTACTCGAAGATCATGCTGAAAAGAAAACACCCTTCTCATATTCTGACATTCCTTTCTTAACGATTGATAAGCACCACTCTTGCTAAACGACTAAATTCATCACAAGAAAGAGAACTCAATCCAATCAAACAAACAAAATAACCTCAATCGAATTGAAGAAGCATGTAATACAATATCCATAGTGGCATTTTTACATCAAATGTTGAAAAAAGATATAGATATGCCGTAGTAGGAAACAACCAAACCACACACATAACAACATAATTTATGCTTGTTTCAACATACATGAGTGTTTTTGCAGAATCACTAGATATAAGCTAAGAAACTTCGAATTTTGTTTTCATATGTTACGAAATAAAGAAGAAAAGCAGAGCAAAACAACTTGTTACTTATTCGGCTCTACTCATTGGTGGTCAGCAGACATATCATTGTTTTGTTTGGTGCTACAAATATTTACAAAAGTCTACAATTATGTATAAATGCATAACAAACAAAAAGATGATCGTCCTGCCATTCAAGTATATCTGAGTCAAAACTCACAATACACTATCGAAGCATTTACATTTCACTTAGTGGCTATAGACTATTTTCTTCTAGTTGGACACGGTGACAACGTTTGTCAGTAAGTTATTATTATAGTTATACCTCGGTATGTCATTCGATTGATGATCTAAATCTAATTGAGAAAAACTTTTGCGGCTATTCGTTCTCGTTCAGCCTGAAAATCAAAGCATATGAACCGTAAAAAAAGCACACGATTTGTGGAAAGCATTTTCTGTATGCAATAGAATTTTCAAATAGAAAGATATTATGGAAGCCGCTATTTATGGTATAAATTTCGACGTTGAATCGCTAGAAATTGTTCTACATTTATGATGACACAAGTCATCGAATGATCATCAAAACCTGAATCATAATATAGCAATTCATTCGTTAATGACATGACAGTCTCAGTGTTTGACTGAATGTAGCATTGCAGATCTGGAAGAAGCATTACTTTCATCCCATAGAACATATGTTCAATAGGCAACTAAAATCATTCACTATATACTCATATTTTCTGCTGTTAATAACTCAAGACAAAAGTCGAAGCTTTGCACATATATTACAATGAAGTTCAATAGATAAAATTCATATTTTTTTTCCTTTTCAACTTATCCCCATACTAAAAAAATGAACGATATGGATGTCTGAAACCATGTCTTAATCATTCTCATTGTTCGTTCACATATAAACAAGATTACATTCAAAATTGAAAATTTCCTCTCCTGTGAAATTATTCGAAGTTTCCGAATATGCTATCAGATTTTTTAAACTTACAGCACCATCTATGGTATCGAACAGACACTATCCGAATAGAATATTCACGTATCTCGAAGAATGGTTAATTGTTTTTTTGATTTTATTCAAAATATTTTCATATCATATCTTTCAGTCGTATTTTTTTTAGACGAATAGCAGTCAATTATGATTGGTCACTTGTCATCCTATCCTATAGTAATTCTTGCTTGCTGTTAGATGAATCATTTATTAGCAATTTCATTCCATTCTAATGACTGAACCATTGAGTCATCCGTCATGGTTTACTACAAAGAAAATTAACTCATATTTATACTTGACTACTGAAGATCATTTCTTTCAAGGCAATCGATCAAATATTTGGCTCCTACGCGGCACCGCACGTGATCTAATAATTGATTGTGGCTTAGGTGTTTGTAATTTGAAGAAACATTTGGAAAATCTTCATTTACTCGATCAAGATCGTGAGTGTATTGTTCTATGTACACATACTCATTTTGATCACTGTGGTGGAGCACAACATTTCGAGAATGAAAGTAAAATTTGGATTCATCAAGATGATTATAATGGTCTACGAAATGGTCGACAAGTAGAAACATTGAACTATGTACAATCAACGTATTTTTTTCAACAACCTTATCAAGGCTTTTCTTCACGTCAATATCGGGTGCCGGCAACAAAATGTGATCCCATTATGGATGGACATCGAATTGATTTAGGTCAGATATCATTTTTATTCACTGTTATCTAGAAGATCTGATAGGCTTTTATTTCAGGTGGTGGGGACGAAGTTATAGTACTGCATATGCCTGGTCATACGCGAGGAAGTATCGTGTGTTATTATCCGAAAGAGAAAGCATTATTTACCGGAGACTTTATCTATGAATGTGGTCATGGGAGTTATCTACTTGATTGGCTACCAACTTCATCTGTTCAAGATTATCTTCGAAGTGCAAATCGTATGCTTGATTGGTTACAAGAGCATGATATTGATCGAATCTATCCGGGCCATTTCCAGATACTGAACGGCAAGATTCGTATGAGAGAAATTCTTGAACAATATATCGACTCACGAGATAACTGTTGTAGTCGACTGACCGCGTCTTGTCTGCAAACGCTAACAAGAGGTTATTTTCACTTGGGCTGTTTTCGATGCTGTTCTTGTTAGTTTATCAAAATAATCCTTTTTTTTTGCAGGAATGTGATTTCTAAAGTTTTCCATCATTTTTATGTCAGATTTCTCACATCAACTCTATTGACATAGGCCTTTCAGACATATACACTCGAGAAATTGTTTTCATGTATAATTCTCATATTAAATCATGTATGAAAGGCATCAATCGATCGGAGTTGAAGGGTATGATGAGTATGAGTGGGAAAAGAATTAACATGCATCCACACCAGCACCTTATCAGATTTCTTCCTGTTGGTTTTCTTAATACAATATGAATAGGAAGAGATAATACTCGAATGAATGGTTTTTCGGTGTGAAGACATGATAAGAGAAAGACCATAACTTTCAATTATTTATTTTTGATTAATAAATGTACATCTACTTCAATGATTAAATTTTGATATGCCTGCTTGTATCTGTGAATAACAAATTTTTAATCAGAATTTTAGTTTCGATATAATCACGAAAGTAATAAATTTGGAGAATAATATTCAATTCAAATTTGAATTTTTATTCAAAGTTAGTTCATCCAAAATTCATTCATTATTATTGTTTGGATTTGCAATAAGAAAAATATGTGAGATCAATGTAATCATTATAGTTACTCAAGAAAATTGATGTTAGATTTAACAAAGAGACATTGAACTTCAATAGTCAAATAGTAAATATTTTGAAAGATTGTGTAGCATACAAAATATAATTTGATAAAGATTTGAGAATATTTAAATCTAGATTTTGTTTCAAACTAATTAATATTGAAGGAAGAAATGAAAGGATCAAATGGCTCATTCAACTGAAAAACTTTCAAAATCTTACAGAGCTATCCTCAGAATGCATTTGATCTTATTTTTAAAATTTGAAAGTTTGACCATGGTAAAGGATTTATCTATTGGAATTAACCAGAAAACGATCATTTATTTCTCTTGTAATTATTTAAATAACAATTAAATCAAATTTTGCTTCAATGATGTTCAATCAACTATTTCTTTGATATTCAAGCATGATTGGTTTCGAGCATTTATATTACAAATCTATTTGAATCATATTATTATATGAAACTTTCATCTCAACTATTGGTTCTTGATGACTATCTAAAACTTATTCAAGATGTTCTTGAATTTGAAATCATTATCAAACCGATCATTCAATCCATTGAAGCTTGCACTTGTTTTTTTCAAGTAGAATCTTGTTTACAAATGAAAAACGAAGAGAATCAGCTTCTATTCATTGATATTATAAAAATGATGAAACAAAACTCTACTTTCGTTTGATTTATGAGGAAACTCTCTTCTTATACATAAGTAGAAATTTTGCATATTGTTTGAAGAATATGGTGCGGATGAATGGAAGAGTTGCAGCTACTACCGCAGTCACATCAATTACTTGATGATTTATGGAAATTCTTCTGAGAATTTAACTGTTTGTCTTCGGATTAATTAAATTCAAATTTATAATCAACTTCAATTATTAACATTTTCAACGAATCTTCATCCAATTGTTTCTAAAGCAACTGGAACTGATTTTCTTCGTTGATTGGATGGTAAATTCTTTTTTTCTTAGAACGCAGGTGTGAGTGACGATCTTCTCCTCACTCGCATTCACATCCACACCTACACCCACTTCCGGTCAATGTTAGATTCAACAAGGTTCACGCCTATTTTTTTATTTGACGTTCATATATCCAAGTTTTTATCGTCTTCTCACTTCTGCATTTCGAGACAACAACTACAGACACAAAAATGTACTATTGCACTCAGGTTCCGTGCGACAATCCCAGGATTGAGAGGGTAGGGAGCTCCAAGGTAGTCAAGACTGAGGGATACAAAATTTTTTTCGCATCAGATCTGATGTTAATCTTTCTCTGCTGGCCTAAAATGTCACCATTTTTCGTGAAACGACAACTTTTGCAGCCTTCCTAAAAAATTCGACTTTCTCTGGCAAATTTTTAAGAAGAGAACTCGAGTCCAATGTGAGACAATTACTCAATACCGTCGTTATGAAAAGCGATCACTTTGGCGAAAATTGTTCTATATCAAGCTGTTTCAAAGGAAAAATTGACTAAAGTAAGAAGTTTGTCTAAGTTAACTGTGATAACACAATTGTTATTTTTCAGATTCATGAAAAATTCGTTTTTTTCCTTATGTTATTCGAAAGGAAAAAGTGTTGCAAGGACTCTTAGAGATTTTGTCGCCAAATGGAATGGTTTGTTTTAGCCCTGTTGAATCATTTTTTATTAGACACTATTCATATTATTGCATCAAATGGTGAACATATGAGATCAAAGTCTATCAAATATACAGAACTATACAAAAACTTATAAGTGGTTGTTTTTATATTCGATAAAATGATTTGTTTTTCGTCAACGTTCTTAATCTATAATGCCAGCCTTGGTACTCTTGAAATAGAAGGGACCAATGAGTGTGGATGTTGCTGAGGAAAAGATCATCACCTACTCATACACTAAATCACGTTCTGTTCCATTGTCTTTCAGTATAGGGGTGCGTGAATCGACCTTCGATGAACTGTCGATTTTGTCGTGATCATGATAATACAGTTATAGTAATGTATCATATAAATATTTCTCTTTTGTGGAACTCACCTATATTTTCGAAGAAAATAGTGAATGTAAATTTTAAGTCGAATTTTTCCGGTTCCCTACTCGATTGCAGACGCTTAGCAACGAGGATACCTCTCCATTACAGACATTTCCATTATAGACTTTAGCACTCGAGAATAGCAGACGGCAGATTTTCTAGAATGTTTTCGCAAAATTAATCAAGTTATAATGTTGAAAACAATGAATATTATTGTTTGTAAGTTGATTACTATATAATATTGTGTAAGATCTGCTGTAGATATCATAGATATGTAAAACACTTATTTGTCAATTAATTCAATGATTATCATAATAAGAATGTTAAATTAAGAACAACGAAATGAAAAAAAAATGGAAAATAATGAGAAAACAGCAACAATGCAAACAAAAAATAGGGCGTCTGTAGAAAAAATAACAAACTTCTGTTCGAAATACAGAAATTAGAGAGGATCTTACTCTGATGATCGATTATCCTGCAAAACAACTGGAGTCTACGAGAGATTTTTCACTTTATATATTTTGTATTAATTCAATGAGGCTAGAGAGCATATGTAAGTTTGACATTTCAACACCAAAGGAGCAGCGCTATCAAATTTACCTAATCACTCAGTGTTAGCTCTGTAATAGGGGATGATCTTATTGAGCTGAACTTCTCTATATATATATAAGATATAGCTTACATATATAAATCGATATGAAGCTGTTGGATGATATATATATATATATTTGATCAAACAAGAAAATATAATAATATCAAAGATGATAACGACCAGCAGCAACAAAAAAAGAAAAAAAACATACATATATGTATAAATATATATGTGCGTAATATCAACTAGCTCACTCACGTGAGCGGTGTTTTCCAATCGATTGCGCAACAGAACGAAAATAAATAGAGCGGAACACTGTAGATGACAACCAACGACATCTACAGGCGCTCACACTCAGTTTTTTGATAGTATCCAGCTGTTACAAACGCAGATGAGGCATGTCATCTCGCGTGACATTCTCACATCCTTTTATCGGCCATTTCCAATAAACAGCGACATCACACGTCATTCTTTTAGCAACCTTAGCATCGTGAATGTAGTGAAATGCCACTTGACCAACGTAAGAAACGGGTGTGAGATGTTGAGATGTAGCAACCTGGTGGGCCTTGTCATAAAAGAATCGATCCGAATGAATTTTAGTCACTCCTTTTTGTTTTTGGCAGTACATAAAGGTATTATCATTCCATGCTTGGAAAGGACATTCATTTGTATAAATTGCAGGCATGGTTGCCATGAATGCAGCTTGAGAAAAGACAATACCAGCACCTCCAGAGAAGTATGCCCATCCTGTTACCCACATATCGTCCCAAATATATCCCATCGATAACAGTAGTCGATGATCAAAGAATTGAAGATAGGATAGAAGAGCAGGTACATTAATCCATGTATCATCATCTGTAAAAACAAACCATTTTACTCTCTTAATCAATTCAGACTTATTGCTAATTATCCATTGTGATCCCAACAACTGTCGGTGTTGTGCATCCTCTCTTGTAGTTTTGTTTGCAAGTTGAGGTAAAGTTGTGAAAGGGATACTGTCGTTGGCAATCTCAGCAAAGATGAAAAAGTTTCCTTGCGACCATTGCAACCATGTTTCTGTGAGAAGTTTAGCCCTAGGAACATTTTTTGCACTGCCCATTATAATAAATAAGACATCTTTAGGTTCTAATTTTGTTGGCAAAAGAGGCCCAAAGCCTGTAATACATCCAAGTTTAGCAGCAGATTCAGTTTGAGGAAACTCGTTTCGAATCATTCGGAAATATTCAAAGTCATGTAAATAGTATCGAGCGCTGCGATTTTTAGCTCTACTTTGCAATGTTTCATTAAGTTTGAGATCTTCTGATAATGCATCTCTATGTTCCGATTCTTGATAAAATGTTTTGACTTGTTTTGCTGATGTATTAAATGAATCAAATGGTATCGACTTGAATTTTGTGAAAAAATCTTGGTAATACTTGGTTTGATACCCATTAACGAAAAGAATCCCAAGAGTAATCAGCATGACCGCACAGAAAGAGATATAAAGAACAAAGCGTCTAGAAAGTGTTCTGCAAGGACTCCACCATATTCGATCGAGATCATGATTTGACTCAATCAATTGAGAATTCATGATAGCTATTTCTAGTACTAGAAGACTTCTAGTGAAATTGAAAAGTACTTTTAAATACCTGAAAAACAAAAGAAACTGATGAATGTAGGTAAAAAAGAGAAAAAAACTCAAAGAATAGAAACTAGGTACCAAGAATAACAATCAATGATTATATTCTCTCTCAGTGGCAATCACTCACTATATCATTGTGGCAATAGGCATCGTGTCTTATGTGATACCTTTTCTTTCTCAGTGTATTGCTATACAATCAATGATGCGTAGTGTTCATAATCGCG